ATAACAAAATACATAAAAAAAAAAAATACTAACTAAGCTTCTTTAAGGTGTTCCATAATATAATTTAAGAATTCTTCATCATCCATGAGAGGTATATAATATTTTTGTGGATCAAATTTGACCACTGATGTTTCAAGATTCCACCCAGGAACTAATTTTTTATAATATGGCATTGGTATGTAATCAGTCAAAAACCCTACGTAATCAAATGTATCTTTGATGATGTGATATCTCGCCATGTGGTATCTCAACATATCTGTACACAACTGTAAATTTGCTTGATCGTTGTAAATTTGTTTAAATAACCGTGCTAAATATTTGACAAACTTTTCTGCATACTTCACTGAATATATATTATAATTTGGTTGGAGTTTAATAATTAAGAATTTATAAAGGCGTTTGGTAATCCATGATTCTTTCGTATACAGAGATTTAAACTTTTGTTTCACATTTTCTTCAACTTGTGATTGATCAAATATAATTTCAGAGGGAGATCGTGTTAGTGATGACGTTGACTCAGAGGGTTTTTGTCCACCAAAAACTAAAGTTAAAATTGAAGGACTGCGATTATATGAACGTGTCACAAATGATTTTGATAATGGTCCATCATTATGATCATCAAGTTCAAAAACCCCTGGATGAGTAGATTTTTTATTATTTGTAGACATGATTTTAATTGTATTAATTATATTTTCTGCTATAGATAATTTATTTCTTGTAGGCGTTTGGAATGTATTCATATTTACATTCTGGGTACTTGATATGTTTGTGGATTCGTCAGGTAATGTGGTCCAAAATAATGAATCGTCAGAATTATTATCAAAATTAGATATTTTTTTTGAAGTTCTAGTAATACTAACAGATAAAATATTTTCATTATTACCTGACTTTATTGATTTATTTTTATTAGTACGCAGAGAAGACCTCAGTACTCTAGTTGTAGATGGTCTAGATTTTACCAATAGGCCATCAGTAATATCTTGCATCATTTGTTCATTATCGTAAGATTTGTTTTTTAGTTTGGAAGATGAAGCATACATTGTATTTACATCATTTGCACCATCATCTAGTATTAATCCATTGGTGGATGTTTTTATAGAAATATTTGGTAAAGAATTTGATTGATTTATTGACAATACTTTTTGTTTCAAAGGTCTTGTAGTAGTATTTTTAATCACTGAGCTATCACTATTGGATAATCCATCAATAATAATTGAAGTTAAAGGTTCCACATTATCTGGAATATTGCTTTTTTGTTTTGACGAACGAGTAGACATACTACTAACATTATTAATAACATCTCCAAGTATTAATGTTTTCCCACTAATAATCGATGAAGAATGTTTAGAAGTTGATCTCTTAATTGATAATTCATTTTGTCTTAATGATTCAGTATTGGTATTCAAAGTTATTACATTTTCAATATTTAAAGTGGGACTTGTTGATTGAGTTTTTGGAGATTTATTACTTTCTGATGATCCCATAACAAACAATGGTAAACTGTCATTGTTTGAAATAACACTTGTTGAAAGTTTAGATTGATTTTTTGAAATACTACCTACTGACATTTCTGTAGTGGCATTTAATGATGTTAAACTGTCATCATTATTTGAAA